TTGTACTGTGTAATGCCGATCCAATCTGCAACTTTGCCAATTTTGTCAGCTTTGTTGAACTGCTGATATGGTAAATTTTGGAATTTCTCGAGCGTTGCAATCGGTCCCCAGCCAATACGATTGTCGAACATCTCCGGCAAATCGAACGTCGGCTGCTTCCCTTCGAATTCCATCTCAGGATGAATCAAGGAAATCACTTCTGCGCGAGCTGCAGTCGTATTAGATATGTTAATGTTTAATGCTAAATTACTGCAACTATTACACAAGGAAACGAATATGGTGGCTAAACCCCCTTTTGCCTTGCCCAGTTGCTCTTCGGTTCCCTGTGATATGCAAATGTCCCGGTCTCTTGACTCGAGTTCCCCCAACGTGATATTTGATGCGGTGATAAGAAATGAACGTGAAAATTGTTTTGTGGCACTAAAAAATTGTGCGGCGCCAACTTCGGAGCTGCTAGCCCCCTCGATCATTGATCTTGTCCGATGGCAGCTTGGAGCTGCTGCCGGTAATTTCGTGGTTTGTGTCTATTTTTGACTTATTTTGCGCTTCTATTAATAAAGAGGTGTTTGAGTGCTTCCCCGCAGCTGCCCCCCCCCCCTCCTCCTCGTTACACAGTTAAAGGTTAAAAGGAAAATATCAGAAGAAGAAGGAAACAATGAAAAGGAGGAAAAGGATATTAAAATAGGTAAGGGGTCTTAAACTCGACTCGACTCAGTCGCGCAAAATGCACTCGCTTTTGTGTTTGCGTGAGAGTTGCGAAAATCGAAGTCGATGCACAGGCACCGGACTCTTTGCTACTGGCCTCATGCCAAATCCCTGTGATATCAGCTTCATCCCGGATTTTCTCTTGAACCTGAACCGATTCAGAATCGATCCCAAAACGGCAATTTGTCAAGTGCAACCAACGAACTGCTCACCCAGTATGCACCGTGGATCCAGAAGGGGTGGGAGAGGGGTGGTTGGCAGGAGCTCAGGAAGCGAGGAAACTCTGTTCGATGCCGCCGATCGCCCCCCCCCCTCCCCTCCTCTACTCCTCTCAGGAGCCCCTTCCATCCGATCGTCACCGTGGTCTGGGGTGCAGTAGCGGGGGTAGCGGGACAATCGAACGATGGGTAGCGAGCTGGGTGACAGGGAGGTGA